ATACGAAAGGGGGAAATGTTAAAGTAATTTTTTCAATGTCAAAATTCTCTGCTAATAAAATAGTGCCTGTTTATGCAAGCAAGATTAGCCACTTATGTCATACTTCAACTCGGCAAGCCCAATGAGCAGAGTTCCCTCGGGACGGATATTCCGATCTGAACCGCAACATATGACAGATATTATTAATAAAACAAGAACCATGTCAACATGGCCATCCCCCGCAGAATGTGTTTGCTCATTGGAAAAATGTATATGCAGTAGAGCAGAATAATTCCATTTTAAGAGGTCTTTTGATAATGAAAACTGATGGCTATAGTGATTACAGATTTGAAACCTATGTGAATACTGATGGCTGAAAATAACAAAGGGCAATAACTGAAAAATAATGCAGGGTAGGTTATCATTCTTGTGTGCTGCATCCCTCCTCAGTAAAATCTATCCACCTATAAAGTTTCAAGTTGATACCTGAAATACTTTTTGAGAAAAAAATTGAATTGAAAAATTAAGTATGAAAAATAACAAAGGGCAATAACTCAATATAAAAGGTAGAGTTATCATTCTTGTGCACTGCACACCTCCTGAATTAGATCTATGCACCTATGAAGTTTCATAATGATATCTCAAAGGCCTTTTGAGTTATGCTCTGGACAAAAATTAATTTTGAAAAATAACAAAGGGCAATAACTCAAAAATTATGCAGGGTAGGGTATTCTTGTGCACTGCACTTCTCCTCAATGAGATCCATCAACCTATGAAGTTTCCAGTTGATACCTCAAATACTTTTTGAGATAAGCTCTGGACAAAATAGCATGAAAAAGAACAAAGGGCAATAACTCAAAAATTGTATAGGGAAGAGTTATCATTCTTGCGCACAACATTTCTCCTCAATAAGATCTATCCACCTATGACATTTCAAGTTGATATCTCAAACACTTTTTGAGTTATGCCTCACTCAGGTGAAAAATTAAGTAAGACAAATAACAAAAGGCAATAACACAAAAATAATGAAAGGTAAAGTTATCATTCTTGTGCACTGCACACCTCCTGAGTGAGATCTATGAACCTATGAAGTTTCATGTTGATATCTTATAGGCTTTTGAAGTTATGCTCTGGACAAAAATCAATTTTGAAAAATAACAAAGGGCAATAACTCAAAAATTATGCAGGGTAGAGTTATTATTCTTGTGCACTGCACTCCTCTTCAATGAGGTGTATCCACCTATGAAGTTTCAAGTTGATAACTCAAATACTTTTAGAGATATGCTCCGGACAAAAATGTCGGACGGACGGACGGAAGGTCGGACGGAGACTATTTCTATATCCCCCGCCGAAAACTTAATAATAGATAGCAGGTAAAAAGATTGAATGAGAGATTTAATCTGCAATAGATTCTAATTCATTTTCTCGTTCTAAATCACTGAAACAAGGTTCTGTTGATTGTATCTTGCCAAATACTGCATGGTCAAAAGTGCATTTGTATATAAGAAAATCTCAAGCCCAAACTTAGAGTGGATGAAAGCCATTTTCAAGGAAAATGCTAGTTTGTGGGACACCAATTTTGAGCATTAAACTACATGTTCATGAAAAAGAAATCTTAATTTCAATTGAACATAAAAGCATTAACTTTAAAGCTGCCTTCAGTTATTATTTTTTGTTGGAAAAACAATTTTGTATTGTTTCAAACTATGTAATTTTTATCTTGGGAAAGTGCATCATATCACTTTTGAGCCTTCTTCAAATCAACATCCCAAGAGATATTTATAGATTAGTATGTCAGTGACGTTGTTTCTAAAAATATATCAGAAATGAATCCTCAGCTTTACTAATTTGCATACAGAGTGGACAGGTAGATGGGTTTCCTTATTAGTTATGAATTTTATCATCAGCAAATTTCATTTTCCACCATATTTCTTTTGATTTGACAATTATATGACACAATTTATCTAAAAATAACATATTTAACCTATAGAAAAGCTGAATTCCGCTTTAAGGAAAGTGAACATAATATGAAGTTTCATCAACATTTAAAACGTGTTACTGAAAATTTGAATTATTTACATAATTCATACATATAGATAAAGGCTACAGAACTCAATTTGACAAGATTGTATCACTTTATTCTACAAATATTCAAGCTTTACACAAATAGCATAATTACATAATCTCACATTCAAAATATGCCAGTACAAGAAATTAACAATGGAATAAAATAGCAGCAATAATATTATTTGTAAGAGTAAGTAAATCTAAAATTAGCTTTAATCTAAAAATAGCTATTTTGTTGACTTCACAACAATAACTTTAATCAAGAGACTGCAAACCAGACTAAATGTCTAACACATCTGATTGGTTAATTCTGAAAATAAATTTAAAATTATCCAATATGAGTGCTTCTTATTGACTGGTTTCCAAACACAATTTTCTTAATGATAAATGATTGGCACTTTATACCAAAACTCAAAAACATGTGTCTGTATATTTAAGTAAATATTCAATCTGTTAAAAAAAGAGAGTTAGTCGTACTTTCACTGAAAAAGTTATATGGCAACATTCAAGACTTAAAGAAAAAGAACATATAGCACCATTTTCAGCTTCACATGAAAAAATCAACAGTTACTGATGAGATTTGAACTTCCAGGGAAGTGAGGTAAGTGACTTAGTCAGCAACCTAAATCATGCCACCATAGAGGCTCTACTTTCTCAGTTTGAATAAGTGATACAAGCTTTCTGCTATCATAGGAAATTGTTTAACTTATACTACAATTTGGAGTGTAAAAGTGGCTAATAAAAATGCACAGCCCAATTAGTACTCATGAAAAGAATGGTCAACTAAAGTACATCTAGACATTGTTCTCATCGGTTAAAAACATAGTAAACGTCATTTTCCAATGTCTTGTGGGGAAGAGTTATGTACCTTGTTTAGAAATATGATGAAATAATTAGAAAATGTTAACAATTGCACTTCTAATCTATGGGTGTAAAAGGATAAACAAATATAAACATTGAAATCAATAGTGTTTTAATTCAATGTACAAACAAAAAATTGTTACAACAAAAAGTTTTGCGATGAAATCAGTAAAATGTATTTAACCCTTTCATACTTAAATTTGTAAAATGGACTTGCCCAACTCTGAATTTAAAACAGTCTATTGTTACTTTGAAGGGGCTTTAAAAAAAAACAACCCTAAAACCGAATTGAGCCTGATCATAATACTAGTATACAAAATCCACAGGCTAGCCTGGATTTATACATGCCTTAAAGAGATTTGTCATTCACCACTCAAGGAGTTCAGCTCTTTACATAAAACTGATACATTTCTATACATTCTCCTGAAAAAATAAACCTTAAGATGATTGTAGAACACTTATTTCTTTACTTAAACTTAACCTGAATACTAAATCTTATTTATAAAAAAAAATCAAATTATGCATCCTTATCTTTGGTTGCAGTATTTATAACAATCCATTAGCATTGTCTTTGGTTGTAGTTTTTATAACAATGCTTTATAAAGTTTTGACTTTGACAAAAAAAAAAAATTGAAATTCTTATATAATGATTCAGTGTAAAAAGTAATCCTATTTGCTTTGAAAACATGTGTGTATATTACACTGAACAGATAAATAACTCAGTAAATAAATCAAGAATGTTAAATTTTTGCTGTTGAGCTTTAAAAAAATCTTAAAATATCAAATTCAAACCTAAATAATTAAGGTTCGAATCTTTTGCATCTTTAAAACAACATGTCATACAAATTTAGCAGTTTCAACAATTTCTTGTGTACAGAGTTACAAACACACAGTGAAGGAGTGGTCCCATAGTTTTTATCAACACTTTAAAATACAGAATGATAAATTACATGTGTTACAATTTATACATTCACTTATTTTACATTAAAAACAGCATGGTTGTTAAATTTTATGAAAATTATTTATACAACAATACGTACAAATAGAGATCTGTCCTTGCCTTTAGCAATTTTGATACACAAAGAATAGCCCCAGCTAAGTTAGTAAAGGTGGAAATATACGGAGCTTAAAAAGTTAATTCTGTCTAATTTTGCAGGTAACATGCAGTGTCACTGTAACAGTTTATATTCAGCGACTATAATTAACATATACTTTCCAAGTAAAGTTTTATGAAATTTATATTCTAATCTGAAGACACTTAGCTTCAAGAAATAACATAAATTAAAATACTGTCCAAATACTGTAGAATGTCTCTAAATATGTGTTGTCAAAATTTCATGTTTTCCCTCTAAAAAGTGTCAATTCTTAATTTGTGCATTCATGAAATCCTGTCAACATCATATTCAAAATCAGAAAGTGGTGCTAAATAAAATAAGATATTCACAATTTAAGGCTAACACAATTTTGAAGTTAATTTGCAAATATTAGCAAAAATAAATTTACAAGAATAAAACCAGTTCTGCAGTACTGTTTTAATTATACAAACATGGCTTCACTGCTTGAATTAATAGCAATCTCATAATACATATTTCATTTCTTCTTTCATACATATTTTCTACTTACATAAGCCATTGCTCACAATAAAATATACAAGTATATACATAAATACTTAAAATAATTACAATTCTTATCTTTAAAAACAAATTACATTTAAACATTAATTTACAATATGAAATTTGGCAAATAAGAGATGAGGCTTTTACTTAAAGAATTTTCTGACTTCAGATTTGAAGAACAGTCAAAGGGGCACAACTCCAATATCACAGATCTATTTATAGACATGACATGGTGACAATTACCTGTGAGAATCTTTTGCAAGTACAATCGATGATAAAATTTGCAAAGAAAACACCTTTCGAAAGTTTGAAGTTATTAATGTAAAAGTACTTTTTTATTCTTTAATATGGTTAACAATGGCTGACTGATTAAAAAAAACTTAGCCATACATGTATTTTAAATCCATTTAATATAAATGGAGATGAAATTACATTCTAATTATGTTGACATATCACGGTACCAGAATGATTGTATATTGGTCACATGGCTTGATAAAAGTAGGAGGAGTTTACACAACATGACTGGAATGATCATGTGACTAAAATAGGAGGAGTTAATCTGATCACATGACTTCAGTGGGTCATGTGATGCAATTGCCACGCTGTTTGAGACACCCTCTACGGAACTTGACCAGACAATATTTAATGCTATAACATGTTGCCATGGTTATAGTATAACACAGCATGAGTTTGTCTTTCTGGCCTGAAATAAATAAATATTTATATCTAAGTAAAAGATCATGTTTTGTTTGTTTGTTTGATTGGGTTTTACATCACACCGACACAGTATAGGTCATTTGGTGACATTCCAGCTTTACTGGTTGAGGAAGACCTCAGGTGCCCTTCTGTGCATTATTTCAGGCACAAACGGGCACCTGATTAGAAACCTTTGTTCCGTAAACTAGCTGGATAGCTTCCTCACATGAAAGAATCCAAAGTCCCTGTCAGGATTTAAACACACAGCAGTGAGGGAAAAGATTATGTACAGTAAAAATATTTTTATTAATCTTTTAAAATTTTTGATTTCATTATCAGATGGAAAACGTTGACCTTCCAAAAAGCATTATCAAAAATCTATAGCAGGATTGGAATCTAGTGAGTGTGGAGTTGAAATTTTGAATTTCATATTTTTTTTAAAAATACTCTGAAAAAAAACAACGTTTATAACATTCTGCACCTAAAGTGGATTTTTAATTATTTTTTTCAACTCTCAGCAGCAAAAGTCAGGGCTTTGAAACAAGTATTTTCTACGCCAACACAGTCCTGATATATTACAAACTTCAATTATACAAATACACAATGGCTCCTGTACCATTTTATTTAGCCTAAAACCGGCTGTATTGAACTATTCCACAAAATAAAAATGTCAATTCCTTATAAATTGTGACCATTATAAAATGCTAATCACATACAATAGAAATAATGTAATAAGACACACTTACAGTTTTATAGAATGTTTTACTCTGTAAACTTAGGCCTTCGGATTTCTCCACCAAATCATCGATCTTCTCCCCTCTTTCTAATACAGCTTCTATTGTATTATGCTAAATTAAAACAACAACAACAATAATTACTAAAATAACCCTTTTGCTTCCGACTTGGCATACCTTTATTTTGATGACATTCACCATAAAACTATCTTTTTACAGAAACTTTATGGATAAAGAGTACAAGTCTGTAAGGCGTTAACGGTCTAATGTGTCTGAAAGTTTTGTTATATTGCTTGGCATTTTTGTCAGTGTTAGACGCAATATTGACCAACCAGTACGGATGGAGCCCAGCCAGTCTGTATAAACATGCATTCCCACAAACTCTTTAGTGTTTGGTGCTTAAAATTTGTTCACAGAAAGGCTTATGATTAACTGAAGATTAACAATATTGGCGTCAATTGTTAGCAAGGGTGATTAAGGTCTCCGACTCTCAAACCCAGAGATCATTGGTTTGAGCCCTACTCTGATCACCAGAATGTTTCTTCATATGACACCAGTACTAGTTGGTCTGGGCTTCCATTAATGGGGGTATGGCTGTAACTTACGCCTGCGAATTGTATCTGTACACTGGAAATTAAGATACACCGACTTCCAAAAATTTAGGAATACGGCAAAAATCATAAGCCGTGACGTACATCACGGCCACTTTCCAGCCTTTCCTAGCGTACAATTGGATGATTTAGTTGACTACGCCCCATGAATTGAATGGCTGACATGAAAGCAATGTGTGAAATTATAGGAAATACGAATTGGCGAGTGACGTTATAGCGTGTGTTGATTTATGACCTTGATAAGCGTGAAAACAAAGTGATTGGATTAATTGTTTGTAAAGGTAAAGGCACTTTGAACTTAATAGTCTAAAATGATAGTTGATGTTACCTTTAAGTCTAATATCTCTAACATGTTATTCTGTAAATCAAACATAAATTTAAAAATTGAAACATGAAAGTTTTACACGAAAGAACAACTGACTTCCAGAAATTTTCCTCATGACTTCCAAAATTCCTTTAAAGTGGAAGCCCTGGTTGGTTCCAATAAGCACACTGGAAAGTGATATAAGTTGCAAGAACTTGTTTCACAACTGAGCTTAAATAAATATGTTTAAACCAAGTCACAACAAAGATGAACGTTCATGTCACTATACTGACATTTCTATATTATTAGATGACCCTCTGTGAAATCGTTTAAGATATGACTAGGCAAATCAGTAGAACCATAGACTTTCCTTAAAGACCCATTTTGCCCTACAAATGCTTTTATCTCATTCCTAGAACAGCTTTTTTTATCTTTGGTGTACTTTCATTTGTTTTCATTTACCAAAAATCTGAACCATCTTTGTATTCCACTGTATTCCACTGCAATTTTGGCATTTAGTACAGTGATTTAGTATTTTGTATGGAAATCAAAATACTACTTTGTTTACATCTTGCTACTTTTATGACAAATAATTTCACGTTTAAAGCAACTTTTCTTCAGGTAACAAGCATTTAAAATTAATAATTTAACATTATTTAACTCATGCTTGCCCTTTCTAAAGAAGTAAGAATTTATTCGTATCTGAGGCATAATGTGACTTTAATATTGCTGGTTAATTTTGTTAAACAAAACAATCTAATGTTCATGCAGTCAATTGTAAGGGGCGACAAGTGATTTGAAGTAAGCATAAATAAACCATTAAAACCATAACGGTATTATCGCTTCCTGTTAAAACATAAAAGCAAACTATATGAAGATGTAAATGTTACTGGCTTGTAAAATACAAAGTCTTTGAAAGACGATGACAGGGCAGCAAAAGGTGAACTTACTAAAATAATTTTTGTTTCATCAAGATCTGCATTAATCTTTGACATGGCATCAGCTTCTCTTGGATTCTGGAATAAATTAAGTCATGATTTTGATTAATATGTTACATGTTTTATTGGTATTTGAGTCAACTCAAAACTGTAAAAGTCATATCGCCTGTTTCAAGTTTTTCTGCCGAGGAAGACTTCATGCGCTTGAGTAGAACTACTGACTTCCCATAATTCATATATTACCTGATTGGCTTCTGTGCATGAAAGTATTCATAGTCACTGGTCAGATTTGAACCTGACAGGCAAGTAATTCCAAGTCGATGACTTTAAAGCTGACTTTAGCCTTTCTATTGATTAAATATGTTAATTCTAGATAAATCAATTCATTTAATTGTCAAGTCATTAAGAATTAAGGTGGAAAATGAAATTTGCCGGTGATGATATACATAAACAATTAGTAAACCTCTTATCGACCGGTCTGCTTTCTATATTTAAAGATAGTAAAGTGGATGATTGTTTCCCCAATCTTATATATTTAGAAGTCACTGATGTGTTATAAATAGCTCTCAGGCACAGTTTTGGAAAACGCTTAACAGAGAGATGATGCACTTTTACATGATAAAATTACTGAGCTACTTACATGTAGTTTGAAACACAGAATTTTTTTTTTAACACAAAATAAAAGCTGAAGACTGCTTTAAAAGACAGTGATTTCTTTAAATACATAACATGATTTATGCTTAACTGATTAAAATTATTCATAGCAAATAATTCAAATAGTCATTTCTATCCCCAACTAAACTACCTGAACTCTAACACTTCTTTCATTTTCTTTCCTTGATTTCTATATCTTATTTCTTTAGATGAAATTCTTTATGCTGGTATTAATCAAAACCTTAGTGCAGTAACAGATTAAGTCCTTCTAAATTTCATAGGAGTTAACCAGTTATTGCACAAAGGTGACATAATGTTTACAATTAAGCCTAGCAACATTTTTTTTTCTACGTGTGACATACCTGATACTTCTGTAAAAATTGTTCCAGCTCTGGATATTTAATCTCACTGTAAAACAAATTAATACAAAAATCCATTGAAAAAACTAAACAGACAAATCAGTATATAATATAATGTTATTATACAAATTTTAATTAGTAGAAGGTATTGCCAAATTTTATAAAATTACAATACAATATCTAACTCTGAGGTTATTGTGAATTTTTTTTTAAATAATAATTTAACCCATTATCTTTGTTACTTTTCAGCGGCTACAGACCATAATAACATAGTAAATTTCATTAAAGTTGTAAATAACATTAATAAAATGGTTTTATATCACTATTACTAATGGCTAAAGATTATAGTTTTCTTAGTTAATTTAAGTGAGTTATGATATGAGCCGCTTCATGACAAAACCAACATAGTGCGTTTGCGACCAGCATGGATCCAGACCAGCCTGCGCATCCGCGCAGTCTGATCAGGATCCATGCTGTTCGCTATCAGTTTCTCTACTTGCTATAGGTTTGTAAGCGAACAGCATGGATCCTGATCAGACTGCGCGGATGCGCAGGCTGGTCTGGATCCATGCTGGTCACAAACCCATAATGTTGGTTTTGTCGTGATGCGGCTCAATTATAAATAGCTTACTCTTCTTTGGCTATAGACCATAATTTTTTATCCACTTTAGCTTCAAAATCTTCTATGGCTTTATTTAGTAATGTATGAGCCACTCTCTGAGGATATTCATGATCGGCTATAACCACTGCCCCTACGTTGTTACTTTTTACATATACATGACACACATATTCTGAAATATAAGAAATACAATAATTAACTTTTTTGAAATATAACAAGGATTCCAACTTGTCTATGCTCAGTATGCTACAAGTAAGGCTCGCGCATGTTTACAATATTTTGTAAATGTTTACCCAATTGCTAAAAAACTGACACGATACTGTTTAAACGTTGATACTTCAATGTACTATACTATACTTTGTATTTGATTTGTTAATAGTTCATTTTTACAGGTAATAATTAGGATATTCTGAAAAGACAATATGGTTATTTTGTTTAAACGGTCAGAAATATTGTAAACATTTACGAATGAAAATCGAAACGAATACATCTAAATGTGTAACCATGGGGGCCTTAGCTACAAGTATAGTAGGCAATGATGTAAATCTATGCAGTATGATTCAACTCATACCATTGGTTGCTCAATTTTAGAATTTCGATATCTAATCCCTAAAAATAATGTTGGACAGTTTCAAAGTCAAAGCTTGACAAGTCCATTACAAAAAACAAGAATTGTTGGTAGGATAGCGTGCTAGACTATTCTCAATGCTTGATAGTAAAACAAGGGACTGGATAATGTAGATATTTCTTAGTTCAAACATGGTCAAAATTCTGGCTAAGTCCATGTTAGAGTTATGGGCCTTGGACACTGACCTCCTATCATGCTGTATAATAAGTATGTGAAGTTTCAACCTATTTCCTTTCACAGTAGTTTTTGAGATACCAACATGTATGCAAAAATTTAACCAAAGTATGATGTTGATGCCGAGGCCTGGGTGATAACGTCTAATAGCTCTCCCTATTTTTCCAACAGTCAAGCTAATAAGCAGAGTTAGGGTTAATGAATATCTAAATATATAAATTACTGTAGTGTATATACCTAGATGTCGTATAGACCTAAATGTATCATAAATACAACAAACTCAATTATAAACATCATAGAAAAATGACTCATTTTAATCATTTCTATTTTTAACTAAGGAGAAAAACTTATTCCAAGAGATTTTTTATCATTTTTAAAATCAAATTGAATAAAGAAGTTAGTCACAAGGTCACTCACTACCACATTGATGTTCATCAATTTTTGGCCTATCAAATACAAACAATGAAAGAAAATAAAGTTTCACAATATATTCGACTGAAAGAGAAAATATCTGACACTGGTTTTTCCTAGCAACTTTTGGAGACCATCTTTCTTGACACATTAAAATTTATATGAGAGGAATGGCCCAGTGGTAAGGTGTTTCCCTTTTAATCCAGAAGTAAAGGGGTAGAAACTTTTAATGATTTGCAAACCAATCCATACTTCCTCATATGGCACTAGTTCTGATTAGTTCTAGGAAGTGGACGTTATGATATAAAATGATTAATATAAAATGTTAGTCCAGCTTAAATATATAACATGTTTATAAACATTTTTCAAATATAGTTTTACCTTGTTCTTTGACTGAAGATCTGCAAGAGGGAGATGTTCGTTCCACCAAAATCTTTGTAGAGAAATTCATAAATTCTTTCACACTGAAAATAAAATAAGATGTTCATTTAAAAACAACAAAAACACTTTGAATGACATAGTATGACCTTAACAAGCTGCAGTAAGTATTTACTGCAACATTGCTATGCATCATTCCAACAACTAGGACTACAGTAGTTTTAAAAGTGGCAGAGAACTTTTCTCTTAATATGAAATCTATCAGCATATTAACAAGAGCTGTCCGTAAGACAGCGCGCTCGACTTTTTTATTGCTTGCCAATAAAAAAAGTTTTTGCAGTAAAAGGCAATACAAGAATCTCTGTATTTTTAAAGTGAACAATGGCCATGAGCATTAAGATATTTAGTGAAGAATTATTTTATTATGACATAATTTATGGTAAAGTGAACAAGTGGATAGGAATGAATTTTTTTAGATTTGTTAAGTTTTTTAGTGCTTGCCTATAATACAAAACATTGACAGTTAAGGGCCATAATTCAAATAAAATCTTTGACAGAATTACCTTCTCCTGGACATGTTTGGGAATCATGATTGTAAACAAGTATTCCAACTTTCAAATTAATATCTCAAACAGTTCAGTCAAAAAGTGGACTGGTACTAAAAACTTAACCAAGATTCTAAGTCGATAAAAGGCCTTAATTTTTAAAACAAATCCTTGACAGAGTTACCTTCTCTCTTGCGTACAGATGGGGGTAATGATGTGAAATAGCATTAAAAGTTTCAAAGCAATATCTCAAAGGGTTAAGGCAATAAGTGGATTTTACCCATATTCAATGTATTTTCTAAGTCAAAAAGGGGCATAATTCTGTCAAAAACCTTGACAGAGTTATGTCCTCTTGTCTGTTGATGAAGGTCATGATGGTAAACAAGTATGGTCAGTTTCAAAAGCAATACCTCCAATGGTTTTGAAATAAAGTGAGGTGGTACAAAAAACTTAACCAAGCTCAATACACTTTCTAAGTCAAAAAAGGGCCATAATTCTGTCAAAAACCTTGACAGAGTTATGTACTCTTGTCTGTAGATGGAGGTTATGATGGTGAACAAGTATGGTAAGTTTCAAAGCCATACTTGTAATACTTCTGAAATAAAGTGGGGTGGTACGAAAAACTTAACCAAGGTGTGACGCCGACGCCGGGGCGAGTAGGATAGCTCCCCTTTTCATAGAAAAGTCGAGCTAAAAATGATCAATGCATTATTTTCAGAGTACCTGTACACCATTTTATTAATTCATTTTGCACACACAAAAAAGGCAAAATTATAGTTCAATGCTGATGACACTTTTCAAATAACTATATTCCATATTCTGCATGAGTTATTACATATTACTTTGCACATGTATACAAAATATCCTTTGCAGAAAGCTTTTTTAAAAGTAATGATATACATACTTCATCATTGTTTAACATGTACAATGCATTTATAACCATTTTCTAGAAATTTGGGTGAGGAATATATTTCAATCTATATTGTTTTTCAACTTCGAAATTTATACAATAAAATTCAAATTATTATAAAAAGAATGTATTGATATATTATACAGTACTCAAATACCTTGATCTTTGAAAGAATCCAAATGATGATAGTTCATATGCTGATACAAGCCGGTTTGCCTTTCCATCCCCAACTCTATAAAGTATAGATAGAGAATACAACTTCATGGTAGCTTCCTCAAATGTTTCTGAAATTCAAAAACAAACAGAATATTAAACAGTGCAGAATCCTTTACATGTACATGTAGAACTTGTGTAAATTACAATAAAATTCAAATTTTAATAAATTATGATAAAACAAAAATACACCCATATTATAAACAGTTTCGATATGAACTATATATAAACACATCTTTTGACACCAAAGTATTTAAATTAACTGTTTAACCTATCAAATATCAGATTTTTACAGGTGGGATACCTTATTTAGTGATAAGAACAGTCTGTCGTTTGCTAGTTCAGAAACTGTTTATTGGTGTATTGAAAGGTGTGCAGGTGGTAAACCCCTATAAACATATCACCATGGGCTAGATCTACTTGAATGTAATATTTAGCTAGCTCAAAGAGCTGGCCTGAAGGGCCTGCTGGCAAAGCGAGCTTTATGATAGCGCAAGTACCTGCTAGATAGTGATTGTTTTGAAAACTTTCATTGAAAGTGGGAAATTGACACATCACATCTTTTCGATTTTACAAGAGAACAATAAAAGCCGAGGTATTCTAATTGAAGACGGACGCGTAGACTGATGTCCTGCGCACTTTTATAGGAACCATAATAGGACAGGGAACCAGAGTAAACAGAAGCAGTGTCTAAAATACCCAATGACAGTTTTAAAACAGAAAATGTAAAATAAAATTAACATTTATTTTATAGCAAGCTTGAAGGGCTGGCCCGATTGGCTTGCTTGCAAAGCGAGCTTTACGGCAACGCGAGTAAATGCATGAGTGCTGTTAGTGATGGTTTGAAAACTGTCAGACGTACTGAATTGACACACCGCAACTTTTTGAATTACAAGATAACGATAAAAGCCAAGGTATTCTGACTGAAAACAGAAGTGTAGACTTGTGTCCAGCGCACTTAGATGGTAACCATAATAGAACAGGGAACCGGAATAAACGGAAGCAGTGTATAAAATACCAAATCGCAATTTTAAAACAGAAAATGTAAAATAAAAATGAATAATTATTTAATTATTTAATACTATTTCAAGGTAAAGGTAAATTGAGCTCCCTTTGAGGCTTTACCTATTTCATATCATTTCACAGTAAAAATACATTGAGCTCGCTTCAACGCTTTGCCTTATTCATATTATTTTGTTCATGAAAAATCTTTTAAATCTGTCATTTGCATGTACTTGAAGCTGTATCTTTAATCAGCTTAAAAGAGTTAATCCTTCTAATAACTAAATTGAAAAGACATTTAAACTGTTAAATCTAAAGTAGTAAAGATGACAGTTTTAATAATTTGTCATCAACTGTCAAAACTTACCAAAGCCAATATACAGGAAAAAACGTTCTCTTATTTTATCTAGTTTATGTCTATGGGTAAAGTACGCTAACACAAGTTAATCAAAACCAATAGAATGAATCTTGACCAAAACATTCACATATAAAGTTAAGAAATAAGCTAAAATTAGGAATTTTTAAGTTTCCTGACTCAACCGGAAGTGCCAGATGTAATTAGACAGGTACACAAAATATCCGTATGATATACGGCTTCGATTAGATCGACACTATAATAAAAACAAAGTTAAGTGCGAACATATTTTATATATACGGAAAGAAGAATAAAGTCTGTTTATGTTTAATAGAAAAGAATACAAAAAAGTGTTAATTTCTTATATTTCGTTTACCATTTTTATTTTCATTCTGATGATATATTACTGTGAAAAAAAATGAAAATTTAATTAAAATGATATCTGTAACATGATCCCACTTGTATAGATTTTATGTTAAATTTTAATTCACATGTGTCAAATATATGTAGGAAAGCCTCTAAACAACTGAATGTACTAAAGAGAATTGGTAAACATCTTAATAGGTTAAGCAAACTCACAATATACTACTCTTTTGTCATGTCAAACTTTAATTATTGTCCTCTTACTTGGCATTTTACCAATGAATCAAACACTAGGAAAATAGAAAAAATTCAGGAAAGAGCTTTAAGATTTATTTATGATGATTTTAACAGTAACTATGATCAACTACTTGAGAAGTCTGGCCTTATTTCTTTGAAAGTTAGGAGATTAAGAGCAATTGCTTTAGAAACATACAAAATTCTAAATGATATGTCTCCTGTTTATTTAAATGATTTACTACATCTTAAACATTCGAAATATAATTTTAGACACACCAATATTGTTGAGGTACCTTTACCAAGAACTGACAGATATGGTAAGAAATCCTTCCGGTATGCCGCTGCCAAACTTTGGAATCAACTTCCAGATAATTTTAGACAAACTTCATCTTTTAACCATTTTAGATCATTGATAAATACTTGGCAAGGGAGAACTGCTCCTGTACTTCATGTAATACCACATAACGCATGTACATCATCAAAAAGAAAAAACCAAATGTTGGCAGCGACATGCTGGATGTTTCAATTTTTTAGTTACTTTTGCTTTGCATTTGTTTTATAACTGTGCTTGATATGAGCTGCTTTTGTGTGCTTTTAATGTGATAGATTTATTTCTATTTTTAAGTGCTATGCTTTTGTGTGCTTTTATTGTAATAGATTTATTCCTATTTTTATGTGCTATGTATCATCTTTTATATACAGGTATAACTTGAATGTTTGTGTGTATGTTAATGTCAGGATTGATGTTCATTATGCATATTTTAACCTTGTCTTTCTATTGCTTAGTCCTAACATGTTTTATTTATTTATATATAATTTGCTCTTTTTATAAGTTGGTTTGTCAATGCATTTAATTGTGTGTATGCATGCCTGATGTTCCTCTGCTTAAATGTTTATGTGTCTTATATAAGCTGTGATGTGTGATCTTAACTTTTAGTATGTATATTAATGGTTTTTTATTATTAGATCTAATATGTATTACCTCTTACTTTTGTATGATATTGATGAATGCTAGTACAGTGCTGTTTGTATACTCTAATTGTTAATGCAATGCTATTTGTCTAATTTTATCATAACCATTTTGTCATTTATCATACCTTAAACATGTGTTTTATATTATTGTAGTCGGTGTAAAAAGCTCATCAGAGCTTATGTTTATTGTTGATGTATCCGACTTATAAATAAAATTTACTTGACTTGACTTGACTTGTAACCTTGTATCCATGTATTCCTTGTGAAAAAGAAAAGTAGTTGTTTGTGCCATATATAAAGACACCATGATAAATCTTATAATATCTAAAAGTTGGTACATACTGGCGAATAGTGTCATCAGAGACTGTATTCCAGCTATAATATAGCTCTGTGGTGTCAAGTTTTATTACCCTCCCCCCCCCCCCACACACACACAAAAGAAAAGAACATTAAGAATTGATATGTTTTTGCTTTAGAAAAACGAGCTGTCTGTCTTGGATATCAACAATTTCGTTTGGTTTTAATAGTTTTGTCGTGTATTCTGATTATTTCGTAACAAAATTCTAAGTGGACCCGGGGTCACTATACAGTTGCCCTTCATTCACCTTTATAACTCATTTTTTTTTCAGAATCTTGCAGGCGTTTTCAGTTCAATGGTACGTTATATATTAGTGGAAACTTCTGCAGGTACAAAGTGTAGAAATATAAGTAAAAATTGAAGTCCTGAGGAAACAAATTTGTTGAAATTTTGCAGTAAAGGACTAAAAGTCTCCAACAGAATATGATTAATAACAAAAGATGGCCTCTTTGTATAAAGTTGAACCTGATTCACTATAATTAACATGTGTATATGTTTAATAGAAAAAAAGTTTAAAAAGAATTTATAATACACGTTCTTTATTAATCATGTACTCCTTTTTGTTGATTTTATTTTTTACAAATATTTTTCTTTACCATAAGATGTTGATATTGTCCATGAAATGCTGTCACGTTGTTAAACAGCTGCACATAAATTGTTAAAGTAGTTTAAGCTGACTCTTTGTTAGGCACTTTGTTAAATCAGTAGGCCAACCAGAATTAGCTCCAGAAATAACAAATTTGAGATGCGATACGCAGCCTCTGTAAGGAATGTCAGACATTTCACTCCCAAGACATTTCACTATTGAGACGTTTCACTCCCAAGACGGTTCACACCTAGACGTTTCACTCCCATTTTGTCAATTGTATGGACGTTTCACTCCCATTTTTAGATGTTTTCATTATTTTCATTATGAAGGGAAAATTCAATTTCATTATTTATTTTGTTGAATTTGAGAGTATTGATAAGAAGAATTTATGAATTTGAAGAATGATTATAAAAGTATAATTTTTCTGAAATGTAACAGAATGTGTAAATAATTATGATCTACAGTGTAGTATCAGCTCAGAAAAGTGAATTTTGTCTCAATAGTGAAACGTCTGTCTACCCTCTGTAAGGTAGGGACATAAGTCAGAAGTCCATATTGAAATTTGCTGAGAAAACTCATGTGGGCACGTTGTGGAACAGAGATGATCAGAATTACATATAGGCCTATATAATACATGACTCCTGGTTTTATTTTTGAAGACATCCAGATTGGGTCCACATAAAAGTTATTCTATTCTATGAAAATGTTCAGATTAAATAAAATTGAAGGCCAAATACTATAGAAGTCCTAAACATGTGTTTTTTTAACAACCCTCGTATATTCGTCAAGTATTAATTTTGGTAGCCATGTTCTTACCAATGAATAATAGTAACAACATGCTGATTTTATACCCACATAATATCAATATACCAACACTATATCAATTTACTTTAAACGAAAAGATTTCCATTTCGTGTAAATGACTTTGACTGGTGATAACTGTCAATCGAACTCAACTTCACTCCTTTCGAGCGACAAAAATGTCGGATTCCAGTTCAGACGAAAGTAGTCAGGAAAGTTGGACTCCGTATTCGGAGCGAGACGAGTGGAACGACATCGCTCCTGTGTCTCAGGATGATGGGCCACACCCTGTGGTACAGATCGCTTACTCTGACAAGTGTGAGTATATGTTTATTTACGATAAACCGACACTTTTCCAAACCGGTACGAAATTGTGTAATGTGTTTTCGCGACTGTTTGTTTACAAACAATGCAAATTATGTTTACATTTTATGACTGTCATTGCTTGAGGTTAACAGATATATGTTCACATGGTAATGAATGTTTAATATCAATTAGTATGAGTTTCCTAGGTCCTTGGTTAAATTCGTCTTGAATTAATTTATTATTTAGACTGGTTCCTATCAAAATTAATTTTTTGACTGGCGGGATAATGAAGGAAGTTATAATTCATTAAATTATGTTTATGAATGTTCATAAAGGATAAGCATGGTATAAAATAAAATGTAATAAAATCATTAATCATGTCAGTACTTAAAATCCAGTGAATTTTTTTTATTTTGGAAATGGGTCCTGGTCTGGTTCAATTTGGAAAAAATGCAGTGAGATGCCTAGTTCTGGCTTCCAAAACTTTATAAGCCGCTCTTTAACATTTTTGTTTTTCATCAATGCGGCATTAAAGTTTTGGATTAGACTCGTTACGAAACCTAACCAGAATAACATTAGTTGATTTATTCTTGTTTTTCACTTGCAAATACACTTGACCGAATCAATTCTTGTGCATTTTACGATAAAACAATTATTTTAATATCATTCTATACTAATTAAAGTATAAAAATATTAATACCGTCATTAAAATTGCCTATTACTTGTAAAACATCAATTTATGCAGACTACAGCCGGCCATGACATTCAGGTGCCACGCGAGATCTCGTATGACGTCATTCGCGGGAACAGATTTGAATAGAGTCGTGTACTATATTTAGAACATTTTGTTGACATGATTTCGATATTTTTATTCAAGATAATGTTTTTATTTATTTTCATTAATTTTTTAGTACTTAAATATGATTTTATTGAAGATAAAAGTCAGTAAATCAACCTTTTCAATATCTTTAATAAAAGTAATTTATAAAAATATTGGAGGCACATGGGTTCATAAAGGTCAATCTCGTAATCACGTGGTCAAACATTTTGGCAATATGGCGGCCAAGTGCCGAAATTTTTACCTGTCGGAAACTATTAGGTGATTTATGTTCGTAATAAGATTTTTATTTGTCCATCCTTGGCTTATCAACAGATTATATATAGTTTTATCAAGGTATGATTCACTTTACTTCATGGCATGTTCGATGAATAAATACGAGCGTGTCAGATCCCTGGCACGATTATTGGTGGACTTTCCCTACGGGGTTATCTTCAGCGTTCACGTCATGTCATAGTATATAAACGGGTACGCTGAAGACCTTAAGCTATGAGATGCCAAATTTGGGATTTTTAAAAAAAAAGTTAATATCAAAATGCTGAAATTTTTTTATGTCAATTTTGACTTGATTTTGAAAAATGAAAATCATGTAAAACTTGCTGTTGTGACTCATGATGAGTCATTTAAATGGTTGTGAATATCAATTCAGCGGTTTTGCATGCTTGATTATCTTATTGTTACTATGTGAACATGTTCCATTGGCACAATATTAATTTTAATTTAGTATTTTTATGGGATTGATAATAATAAGCAGGGTTCTCTAAAAGATTGATCTTTTTGCCTTTTTTGCAAATGGAACCCATCAATTCTGTCCTAAATGTTCAAAACACAGCGAGAGATGTCTAAATTGTATTGAGTAATGGAGGCTGCCATTTTTTTTCTTGGATATTTTCCGTACCGCACCGTACAGTTACGGAAATTAAACCATTGTTTATTATGGGGCTGTGACTAAAAAAGGATTGGAGCACCACACTAAATACCGTATTCCGGTATATACCGGACAAGGCGCTTGAATGATAAAATGCTAGAATCTTGTCTTTTTACCCAACGGAATGAACATTAACAGGTCTAATTCATCTTTTCACACCGAATCAAGTACGATAATCAAGGAAAAATGTAAAAATCGGCGAAAAAAACGATATTTGTCTATTTTGTGATTATGATTTCTGCAAGTGTCTAGCGGTACTGCTCCAATCCTGTATTGAGTTAAATCCTTATTATGGTCATTATTTAGCTATGATTTTCTGATTATTTAGTTAAGTAAATATTTTGTATGAAAGTGATTTGTTTGAAGCAAATTGTGTTGTTCATGTTCAATTCTAGTCAATTTTGCCTAAACATTTGGTTCTTAAAGATTTTTCTAAGCTGTCAACATATGGCCAAGAATACAAAACGTATTATGCTTCTTTCAAAATTATCAAGGGAAGCACGATAAAGTGTTTTCCTGTTCCCATCAATTTATTACCTATCTATGTATTTGGTCCGGCTAAAAATCACCAGGTCCAGTAAGATTTGATATTTTACTGGCCCGAATGTCCTGTGCTTTTTAAAGTTTTTCGTGAAGATTGCATATTTTGTTATTGATAAGGTAATTACACCAACAGACTGAAAATTGTACTGATCTATTTGTAAATATTTTAGCTGAACTACCGGTAGTTAACACACAAAATAGATGTCTCTTCAGACCAGTCAGCTAAATTGCCAATAGCATGCACAGTAGATTTCAATTATGTTAACTTCCTAAATGAACAAATGCAAGCATTTTCTGCTCGCTGTATTAGATTTTAACTGGAATTTTTTGAGCTTCGAGAAGAAAGAGATAAAATCATGTGAGGTCAGAAACAATAATATCTTTTGTCTAGGATTATTTTTGTACATACACTTGGACGCATGTGGATAACTTATATGCGTACATGTCAAAATTTATGCGTACAGGGACGCGTCCCGTAAAACCCTGGCTATGTCCTGGAATAGACCCCATAGTTTAAGCCAGGAGTATATATATTCAAATTTTCTTTAGTGTATTATATACAAGTTTTAGTAAATAAATATACATACAAATGTAGGGTTCTAATCTAGGAGATTGCCAATTATGATTTATTTTAAAAACAAGCATACACTTTTCAATATATCCTTGGCTGTAGGTTGATTCTAGTCTGATTGAAGGGCTCAACCCTTCTTAAGCCCTTCTTGTTTTGAAAAACTTTCACCACTACTTGAATTTCTTCATGTTGGTCTCATGGCTATTATTAATAATTTTTATGTATATGTACAACTTTCAGCTTTCACTCCTGTATAATTTTTACACTGGTGTGTAATTTTTACAGCATAATGCTACAGTAAAAATTTTAATTTTATATGGTACTTCTCCATTCCAGTGTTTATCCAGCTTGATCACCTTTTGAGTCTATTACATTTTTCAGCAGATTATTCCATGTTTTAATTACAAATCGTGAAAACTGATTCAAGCAATGTGTTGTTCTACTACAAGGGATTTCTAGTTTTAGAGTATGACCTCTCATTGATAACTGAAAAAAAAAATTCAAAAGAGCAGTCATCTCAATCTTTAATATAAGTTACAGATCTTTCCCGGACTTATTTAGTACAGTTCTTTTTTAAATAGAAAAAAATATAAAAGAAAAATTAAGACTACAGTACCTGGGAAGGTGTTTTGTTTTGGTTTTGGTTCAGGTGTGTTATCTTATCTTGTTCTGTCAAAGTTGGATGGGTATATCCAGTTAAATCCGGCAGACTAAAGGTTGATAATTAATGGAATTAATTCTACAACAGTCAAGTGAAGAAAGGAACATGGTCTACAAAGAGCCAAAAAATGCCAAAATCATAAAATAAACAAGTAAAAATATTGCCTAGCAATATAAGTCCCCTACCAGAAATGGGAATTTTCAGTATCAACACGTAGCAAGTTTAAAATTGATATCTAAAGGGCTTCAAAAATATGTTTTGGTTTTCGCAAGTTATATGTTGCCACAACTTATATAATTTTTTATATTTTCAGTTCGTGACGTGTATGACTACTTCAGAGCTGTTGTTGACCGTAATGAAATCAGCGAGAGGGCCTTCAACCTCACTAAGGATGCTGCATCTCTCAATCCAGCAAACTACACTGTCTGGTATGTCAACTTATATACACATTCTGTATTTTACTTTATTGTTCCTAATTTTTATGCACTTGATTTTATGTCTGAGAATGCAGTCAAATTTACTGTGTTACATTTATGTAAAGGCCAGATAAATGGTTAGACTGATTTTTTTTTAGAAAAGAGTAGCAAAGTTTCATCCTCTCATAATTGTAAGAGTAACAGTAATAATTGGCATATTCCTATCAATTTTTTCAAATGGCATCAGTTATTTCAGAAAAATACTAACATCAGTACAGTGTAACTTCCAAAGTCCGGAACTTCTATAATCCGGAAACTTCTGAAATTAGAATTTATTCAGAGTCCCGAAATTTCTCATTCTGTTTTCTATGTAATTAATACTTCTGAATTACGGAACTTCTAAATTTTTAATTCTGAACGATTTTCTGGTAAAATTTAGGTTTAATCAATTCAAATTTACTTCCAAAATCCCGAAAATTGAAAAAGGTGTGAAGGAATATTAGACAACACCACAATAAATACAATGGAATATTTCTTAAATGAACAATGAATTAAATATAATTTTTCAGTATGAAAACAGTCTTAATATGTTGTTTAATTTTCCAAATATCTTACTGGATTACCTAATTAATTACATCTATGTTTACACCAATAATTTAATAAAATTGTTTCTTTCTTCCTAGCAATGAAACAGGCCTGTTTTCCTAAAATAATAAAAAAAATTGTGCATATTTTCTCTTAATATAATGCTCAGGCCCATTCCAAAACAAATTGTGCTTTGGCCCAGTGACTAGTATTCTTAACTATTTTAAGAACATAATATAACTTTAACAGTTTTGAAGTATGTAGCAAGAAGACCACTTTCTGCTACCTGCACAGTGACATTAAAACCATTTCTAACATAAAAAAACAACATTTCTTGAGTCTGTTCAAAAATATGCCAAACACTTGATTGTTATTACCATCATTCATGTTGAGAAAAAACTGCTACAAATCGGAAGGCAAATTGGAGAAAGAAAAACAAATATTGTAAAGGGGGGAATTTCAATAAAATATTATGTAATTTTACAATACAATTGTTTATTTATGATGATAAGTAAATTGTAAGTAATATACTGAAGTATTATATTTGTTAATAAAATAAATCTGCATTATGGAATGACAAACATGCATGGGATATTGTATATAGGCAGGTGCTGGCTGGCATTCTCACCATTCCATGAGAAGGTCATCTCTGTTATGTTCTGTTGACCGAATATTTCTTACTAGACATAGCTTGTCTTGTTTATATCATAAACTGGCAGTGCCGTAAAATGCTTATATTTAGTTTGCCCGATTTTTGTTTGTATTATAAAATAGTTGACTTTGGTTTGCCAGATTCCTTTGCAATATTTTTGTGTTGCTTTAAAGGGACTGGCCAAAACAACATGATATTCCTGTAGACCTGTCATTGATTTAGTGCAAAGGATATTGGCAAGACACCGATTTATCAATAAATACTCCCAAGTAATTTCTTGAATATGATTCACTTTCATTCCTGTTTCAATAATTTAAGTAAAATGCAATTAAAATAAAATCACGTTCTGTTCATAAGAATATTTTGTGTCCTGTTTATAAAATGTCCTTTGCATGATTTTTTATCTGACCATTTTTTGTCATCACTGATTTGAAATGTGTCCATTATTTAACCCCAGGTTAGTGTAAGACATGGCCACCTGCTTTTGTATATGTTTTGGATGAATTTTCATAATTTATAGACATTGAAAATGATAAGAATTATCAATTTTTTCAAAATGTGTATTGGTTATTGGTGGACAGAAAAATATCAACAATACATTGATATTGTCTCTATCGATGACAACTTTACTGTTTAGGAAATGATTTTTACTCAAATATGAGCATTATATATGTTGGTTATATAAATCCTGCAAGTGTGGTTGCTATGGCCACAGATTACAGCTTTTAATGCTAAATGGTGAAGATTTTATAATAGCATGTGAGACGTTTGTGAAATAAAGATAAGTATGCTATTACTAATAGTTCGTGCTGACTCAGTTTACATTTCATTATTGGCGTTTAAATAACTTGCACGCAAACCCTAATTGTCTATTGATTTAAAATTAAACAACAGTTGCAGAAAATAGATTCTACAGCCAGTGACTTTATGAACATGTATATAAACGCTGCTGTTGATGTTGAAAATCGTGCATAAAACATTTATTTTAGCTCAATAACTTAATATGATAGTTAATTTCACAGAAGAAGTAAACAAATTAACAACAGAATCAGCACCGTAAACAGATATGATAGATCATAAAAAACTGTGTGACTTCAAAATGGCATCGAACTTTGTTTTAGACAAAGTCACTGATCTGAAGGCGAGTTCTTCGCCCTAGATGCCGGGCCCTAGCTCAGTAGATTTTTGCTTACTTAAAATGCTCTGTATAGAGTCCACTTCCTGGATTTATGGTCATAAGTACAGAAGTTTTATGAGGACCCTTGACCCAAAGTGTTCTTTTTTTTGGCAGCATGATTTTATAGTTGATATTGGGTCATTTCCATTTGGAACATAATTATGTAAAATATGCAAGCTGAAACAACTTGTTTACATACTTGGAACAAAACTAGGTAGCAGCCTTGAATGCAAATTCCTAACAAAGCAATTCCTAATAAAGCACCAAAAATTGGTAAAAAAAATTCCCATTCTTCATTTAGGGTATTGGTCACTTTATATGCATAAAAAACATAACAAACAGCCTAGGTTCAGACCTAAATATCTTGGTTTACAGACATAAATTACCATTTCTCTAAATAAACTAGTTTAACAGGCCATTTGTAGTAACTATAAGAAAAGATGTTGGAAGACTTGAGCTTGAAACTAAAAAAAGAAGTAGAAACTTTGCTTGTGTTTTTTTGAAACACTGACTATAATAATTATTGCAGAGGGGAAAATTGTTCTACCACTTATAGTGTGCCACATACTATTTGAAGGATATAGAGGCTGGGTACTGTAGATCTATTAATCTTGTTATCTCTTATATCAGAAACTAAAGGATTTCCTGCAGATTTTTATGTAATGTTATTGTGAAGTAGTTAATTTTGGTGGTTAATAATAGATAAAGTGTTTTTCTGAGTTTTTATCAATGAAAAACATCATAACTTTTGTTGCATGTAAAGTTGTGACCTATAGAAACAAGATGATGATTTGGTAATTCTGTATGTATACAAATATACCGTAATATATGAATATAATGGTTATATGAATAGAATTAAAATGGTTTCAGAGCCAGTTACAGTTGCAGAGAATTCTTTTCATGTGCAAATGAACCTGATATATATGACACCTTTGAAGATAGTTCCATTGATAATGCTGTCTGGGATTTTGGTGTTTGGTGGATAATACAACAACTAATTTGTTCATATAATTCCTCCCCCCTCCCAAACATCCTTTGATATATTGGATTCCTCATTTTTGTACATATTTAACTCTTATTACCTGAAGCTGAATGGGATGAGCCTGTAACCACAAGTTTAAGTGTTGTTACCAGGTAGCCTGTAAGTCCGTGCAGTCTGGCCAGGCTCTTATACTCTTTACTGTTATTATACCCCCAAAAACGAAGTTTGGGGGGGGTATATAGGAGTCACTCGGTGGTCGGTCGGTCGGTCGGTTGGTCGGTCGGGCGGTCGGTCGGTCCAGACGTCCGTTGCATTTTCCTTGTCTGGAGCATAACTTGAAAACTAATGGTTGGAATTCAATATAACTACATACAATGGTCAAGCACATTGAGAGGAAGTGCAGTGCACAAGAACCATAACTCTATCTTGACTAATTACAGAGTTATTGCCCTTTGTTACTTTTCCTTGTCCGGGGCATAACTTGAAAACTACTGGTTGGAATTCAAAACAACTTCATACAATTGTCAAACACAATAAGGGGAAGTGCAGTGCACAAGAACCATAACTCTATCTAAAGTAATTACAGAGTTATTGCCCTTTGTTGCTTTTCCATCGCTTTTTTTTGTCCATTGCATTTTCCTTGTCCGGAGCATAACTTGAAGACTAATGGTTGGAATTCAATATAACTACATACAATGGTCAAGCACATTGAGAGGAAGTGCAGTGCGTAAGAAACATAACTCTATCTTGACTAATTACAGAGTTATTGCCCTTTGTTACTTTTCCTTGTCCGTGGCATAACTTTGAAACTACTGGTTGGAATTCAAAACAACTTCATACAATTGTCAAACACAATAAGGGGAAGTGCAGTGCACAAGAACCATAACTCTATCTAAAGTAATTACAGAGTTATTGCCCTTAGTTGCTTTTCCATTGCCTTCTTTTTTTTGTCCGGACCATAACTTGAAGACTAATGGTCGAAATTCAATATTACTACATACAGTGGTCAAGCACATTGAGAGGAAGTGCAGTGCATAAGAACCATAACTCTATCTAAAGTAATTACAGAGTTATTGCCCTTTATATCTTTTCCATTGCTTTCTTTTGTCCGGACTATAACTTGAAGACTAATTGTTGCAATTCATTATAACTTCATACAATGGTCCAGCACATTGAGAGGAAGTGCAGTGCACAAGAACCATAACTCCATTTTGACTTATTACAGAGTTACTGCCCTTTGTTTCTTTTCCTTGTCCAGAGCATGACTTTAAAACTACTGGTTGGAATTCAAAACAACTTCATACAATGGCCAAGCACAATAAGGGGAAGTGCAGTGCACAAGAACCATAACTCCGTCTTGACTAATTACAGAGTTATTGCCCTTTGTTACTTTTCCGTTGCTTTCTTTTGTCCAGACCATAACTTGAAGACTAATGGTTGGAATTCAATATTACTACATACAATGGTCAAGCACATTGAGAGGAAGTGCCCTGCATAAGAACCATAACTCTATCTAAAGTAATTACAGAGTTACTGCCCTTTATTACTTTTCCATTGCTTTCTTTTGTCCGGACCATAACTTGAAGACTTATCGTTGCAATTCATTATAACTTCAT